GCCCCATCCATTGACTTGGGCTTTGGTCACGTGATATGCTTTGGCCAATGGAATGTTAGCAGACAGGAGGAAGCCAAGGACTGAATGTGCCTTCATGGTGGGGTGGCCCTCTCGCACTTCCCACTGCAGGAAGAGCTATCCCTGGATGGCTGCAGCCTGGGTCCCAGGAAGAATACACACGGCACAGGCCAGAGCCAAACCATCAGGAGGAGCAAGTTCAGCCAGACCTACAGTTTGAAGTGGAGCCACCCAGAAGAATCTAGGTCAGACCAGCTAACCCTCAGTGTCCAGCAGATGCATGGCATGAATAATGAGCACTGCTTTAATGAATTATATTTTTGCAGTTCAGTTTGGGGATTGTTTGTCACACAGGGATAGCTGTTAGTGTCTTACTGAACAACCTCAACAGCTTGGAAGAGGAACAATGGGCCACCTCTCCCATTCACACACATTCCCAGATGCTAGGTACACACACCACATGAACACACCTGGTCACACCCTACCTCAACCCCCAGCTGAAATGACACATCAGGTTCTGAGTTAAAGAAAGGGTGGGAATCAGGCCTCAGAGAGCAGAGATTGAATGGCAATCTCAGGGCATAACCATGTGCACACAGATATGCCAGGGAACTTGTAGGTCCATACCCTCCCATGAACATGTACATGGCCTTATGTGCCAATGTGGGCTCTGCTGCTTTAGGTCTTGCCAGAAGGTCTGGCTTCTCCACACCCACACAGGTACTCTCTCATAACTTAGTACATCACTACACTGTGGGTGGGGCCTCTTTGGATGTAGCATTCTTATGCAGTGCACAACCTGAACATCAGTACTCAGCAACACTGCCTGCCATCTAGGAAGCAATTTCTGTGGGGACACGATGGGAGCAGGGCAGCTCTGAGATACCATAAAAGGTAAATCCTTTGTTTGCATTTTTGAGTATCACCTTAATTGAGCTCCTAAAATCCCTGTAAGGCATTTAACTGTCCCCTTAAGACAAGACTGGCTCATTCCAGCCAGTGTGCTTATTCTTTGAATTGTTCAGTGACGCTCTCATTTCTCCCACATCAGAATTCTGCTAGAGCTGATCTCTGCATTGTAAAAATTGCAAGCATAACTATTTTGTACTATGGACAAGAATAAAAACATTTTGAAATATAATCCATACTATTTATCTTCTTGAATCAGATCTGAGTGTGGGCCAGGAGATAGAGAAAGGTCCAGCTAGGAGTGTGCCCTTCAGCTGATCAAGGTGGGCAAGAGCAAGAGAAGTAGGAGACCCCTGGGGCCGAGGAGCTGCATTCTAGGTGTGAGACCAAGCCCACAGACCAGTAGCTGTCAATCCTGACTGTGCCTTGAAATCACCCAGAGAGCCTTTCAAAGTCCCAATGCCCAGGCCGTACTCCCTGCCAGCTGCACCAAAGCCACTGGAAATAGGACCTGGGCATCAGTACCGTTGGAAGTTTCCCAGGTGATTTCACGGTGCAGCCAGGTCTGGGCAGCCCTGCTGGGAGCATCTTTATGCTACTGGGATTCAGGGAATGGCCCAGAGAATTCCAAGATTGGGGTGGGAATGGGTGTATTGCCTTGAAATTGTCACATAGCCCTCCTGGGAGTGGCAGCCTGCATTTTTGAGATGGCTGGGGGAGATTAACGAACTGTCCATGACCTCTGAGATGAATGTTCCCAGCCGGAAGATCGGGCTCGATCAGTCTCCCTCTGAAGTGGCAGAGTGGCCATCCCCACTGGATTTGAACACATTTAACATAGCTCGCCATTATTTGAACATGAGGAGGTCTCACATTTTAAAATTCTGTAATTTCAATTTCTCTCGGAAAGAAAATTAGAAGGGATGATAATCCTGGAGCCCTAAGTGACAACAATTGGAAGATGAGTGTTGGCCGCATGCTGGAGAGGTCCTGCAAGTTTGCAGGGGTTTGAGGCTTGATCCTCCCTTTGAACAAGGTTGTAGACAGTAGCTTGTCCCTGCCCGAGTCACTTAATCAAATTACTTTGTATAACATATATATAACTTTATATGTCCTTGGTGACATATAGAACTGTGTTGGCCAATACAGTAATTACTTGCCACGTGTGGCTACTGAGCCATTGAAATGTGATTAGTGTAAATGAGGAACTGAAAGTTTAATTTGATTTAATTCTAATGGAGTTGCATTTAAAACTGGATGCTTGATTTAGTAACTAGAAAACGTGGATATGTGAATCTGTGCTGCCCATTCTCAGTGCTAGACTGAGAAGTACTGAATTAGAAGCTCTGGGGTGGGGAGAAGCCATCTGGGCTTTAAGCCTCCTGGACAACCCTGATGTACCTGTGTAAGCCACAGCTCCCGAGGGCTGAGGCAGGGATGGACCCCTGGGGGTGGAGGCAGGCGACTACGGTTTGGAGAAGCAGCATAGAGGAATACCATCCTCCCCGCAAAAAGGTGTCCAGGTCCTAATCCCCAGAATCTGTGAATATGTTCCTTTTCAAGGCAAGAGGGGATTAACATTGGATTAACATTGCCAGTCAGCTGACCTCCAGTTGGGGAGGTTATCCTGGGTGACCTGGGTGGGCCCAGTGTCATCCCGAAGGTCCTCAGCTGACAAAGAGAGAGGCAGGAGGGTGAAAGCCAGAGAGATGGCGACATGGGAAATTCCCAGCTGGCCACCATCAGCTTTGAGGTTGGAAGGGGCCCGGTTGCTGAGGAAGCCGGGTGGCCTCCAGAAGCTGGAAGGTGGGGTCTCCCCTCGAGCTTCCAGAAGAGAATACAGCCCTGCCAATGCTTGATTTTAGCCCAGGGACACCATTTTGGCCTCTCGCTTCCAGACCTCTAAAATAATAAATTGGTGTTGCATAAGCCATGAAATTTGTGGCAATTTGTTATGGCAGCAACAGGAGACATCTAGCATGGTGGCTGAGGGCCCAAGGCTCTGGAGTCAGCCTGTCTGGGGCTGGGGCTGTCCTCTTGATGGGGAACCATGGGGAAGTATCTCAATATTCCTGCTCTCCTGAAAAACCGGGGTGATGGTGATGATAACAAACACATAGGGTTGGGAGGCTAAAGTAATGTATGCAAAATATTTGGCCTATGATAAGTGCTGCAACAAATATTTCAAAGCAAAACTGTGTTCCACCAAAGAGCAGCCTACAAACCACCTAAGATGGGTGAACAGCCCCAAGGGACAGAGCAGTGACCAGAGTGGGATGGGGCTGAGGAGAGAAGACTTCCTGGGGGAGGTGATGCTGGAACTCAGTTTTAAAGCAATAGTGAGTACACACCAGGGAGGGAATGAGGTTTGCAAAGCTCCCAGTAGGTTATTATGCTGCTAAGTACAAAGGAATTTCTCTGGGTAGATAGGAGCCTGCATTTGGGTTTGATGAGAAAAAAGTTGAGAAGAAATAAGGGATGGTGGGGAACATCTCCCCAAGCAAAATAAAATCCAGAAGCCATAATGAAAGCACCTGAGGTTGGATTACATCAAAATTTACTACTTCTGTATAAGAAAGGCTCCATAAACAAAGTTAGTGATCAGCTGAGAAGAAATTTTGCAACAAATGACAAGGATTTATCACTTAGTCTATATAGAGAGTTCCTAGAAATCGATGAGGAAAAAATACCCTCAAAACAGTGTCTGATAGAAAAGTAGACAGCAGATAAGAATCAACAGCCACTGAGGATAAAATGTCAATGCTCAATATGAAAAGATATTGTCCCTCACAAGTAACTAAGGAAACGAAAATTAAAGTGATGAAATATTTTCACCTGTCAGATTGGCAAATACCAAAAAAGATTGCTATCACCCAGGGTTGGCAAGTATCAAGAAAAAGACATTCTCATATTCTATGAGCATCTGCTGGACAACCTGGGAGGAGCTGGCAATGCCTGATGGGAGGGGAGGGTGAGGGTGGAGAATCCCAGAGTTGTGGGGGGCCCTCAGCGCCATGAGAGCCTTCTCCTTCTGCTTTGTTCTGAACCAAGAGAGGAAATCTGTAGCCCTGCCAGAAGGGACCTGCCCTTTGCTGGTTTGCAAGCAAGAGTCAGTTGGGTCCCTTCTGCTGCTGAGCCCTGGAGAGAATTTGTTTGCAAGCGCTTTGGCTGCAGAGGTGGTGGGAAGCATCAGGGCTGCAGCCTGGTCCCAGGGATTGTAGCACTGAGGTGGCAGTTGGTGGTGGAGGTCTGGGAAGAGGTGTGTGTGGACAACAGCAAGTATTAGAATGACACTTACTTTGCAAATAAAGGAATAGCTCAGAGGGATGCACCAAGTGAGAGATGTAGGATCAAATGCCAATCTTTCTACCACTCCAAGGAGTCAGGAGGCCTGACTTTACCTATCACATGAAAGCAAACCTGTCTGAGTCAGCTCCACGAGCCTTCCCTTGGACCACTACCATGGGTATGCATAGGTCAGAAAAGGAAACTGAGGCTTGGAGAAGTTAAGTAACTTCCCCAGGGTCCCACAGCTGGTAAGTGGTGAAGCTGGGCTCTGAGATTCAGGCTGTTTTTCTACCACAGATACATTTAAACTGTGTGTGGGTGATCCATTTGGAGCTTGGGTTCAATAAGGGGGCATGTGCCTAGGGGTTTACAGGTGTTTGGTATCCAGAGAGGTTGTTTGACATTAACTCTTATGGCAGAGACCTCAGAGCTACCCAAGAGCAAAATATATAAAATTTGTAAAAATGACTTATTCCACAAGCTATCTGTGTGCAGTTGGCCACTTTGATGAAAGAGATCTGTCACACTAGGTTCAAAAGAGGTCCTCCAGCCTCTCTGATCCATCAGACACTCAGCATGTGAAAAGATACTCAACTGCACTAATAGTAAAAGATAGGTGAGTTAAATCAAGCAAAGATACTAGTAAAGACTAAAAAGAGCAATAGCGTCCAGCCAAGAATGTCAGCATCAGGAAACAAACCGGCAGCTGCTGAGTGGCTGGGTACGACCTTCCTGGGAAACCACTGGGCAATATGGCTCCAAATTTTCAATGTACATACCTTTGGACTGGATGTTTCTTAATCTGGGGGGTTATCTTCAGCATAAGTGCACAATTTGTCCAAGACAATGCAGTAAAGTTTAGGAGAGCAGACAAAAAGAGGAAAGAAAGGAAAAAGAAAAAGTCTGTCATAGGAGGCTGGTTAAAGTGCAGTTTGCTCACAAAATGAAGTATCATACAGCCTGCAGAGAACAATATAGATCACTGTGTTTCCATGAACAGATATCATCAAGTGAGAAAGGTCTCCTATAAAATGCTACAGGTAGTATACACATTACTACATATATGAATTAGATCATATATATGTTGTCCATATATATTTATGAAGCATAAAATTTTACAGCATACACACCAAACAGGTAGAAGGGAAAAGTGGATTTCACTTGCTATTTTTTGCACTTTTTATACAATCGTGAATTAACAGAAATATATTTAGGAGGAGGGAGGAGTTCCAACAGAGCTATCTTGCTAGGACTGGGTCATTAGCCTTCTCACAAGGCCAACATCATATGATTTTAAGCTTCAGTTTATAGAAAGAGAAAACTCTGTCCCATTCACTTTGTGGGGAGCTTTATTCGAAGACAACACTGACTCCAGTCACCCCCACTCAGACCTTTCCCATCAGCGTTAGTGCAACATAATGCGGTGGACCAGCCCTGTGTCTTCCTCCTGGACCAGTCTCTGCATCCCAAGGGCTGAGATACCCCTGTGCCCATCAGTGAGGCAGTGAGCATTTCTTTCACTGAGCAAATATTTCATGAGCACCTATAATGAGCCAGCCCATGATGGGTGCTACAGACACATGTGTCAAGAGAATAAACCCTCATCTGGCATCTGGGAGCTTAGAGTCCCACTGCAATTTGTTGAGTAAGTAAATGACACCCAAGTGAGTGGCCACTGAGACGAACAAACGAAGAGGGTAGGGAGAACTGACCCAGTAACTTTGTGAACTGATGCACAAGAGCATTAGCTTAGAGCAGACAAATCAGCGCTGGTCCAAGGACGTGGTTGGCACATTTTTTTGGCAGTAGAATCTCTTCTCAGTAAACAAGAGAGAACAAAGACACTATTGTAAACTCATTTCATAAATTCCATTTAAAGCACTGACAGATCATACAATCTATATAATCTGATGGACAAAAAATATTTGGGATGTAATAAACTTGACTGTATGTGATGTCTTTCCTTGTTTTTAAAACTCAAGAATATAATAAAGATTAAATTCAAATAAAATATTTATAGAACTCTGGAGTTTGAAAAATTACTGTTCTGAAAGTAAGAGTGTTGTTTCTTTGTTCTATTTTACCTAACAAAGGGAATGCAACAACATTCATCTACTCACTCAACTGCTAAGTCTTGGGCACACTGAATGTTCAGGTCAGGCACTCATACTGAATTCGGTATTAATAGTCTTGGGGATCACAAGGAACCCAGAGATTAAGGGAGGGTAGGGGAGGTTAGGTGAACAGCCAGAATAGGTAGGTTGGTAGGTAGGTAGATATATGTATGTTTGGATGGATAGATGGATGGATAGATTAGACAGATAGATAGATAGATAGATAGATAGATAGATAGATAGATAGATGATAGATAGATAGATAGATAGATAGATAGATAGATAGATAGATAGATAGATAGATAGATATAGACAGATAGAGTGATAGGCTGAATAGCATCCCCTAAAGATATCCACAACCTAATTTCCAAAACCTATGAATATATGACCTCACGTGGCAAAAGGGACTTTACAGATGTGACTAAGTTAAGGATCTTGAGATGGAGAGATTATCCTGGGTTATCTGCATGACTCCAGTGTAATCATGTGGGTCCTTAAAAGTGAAAGGGGGACAGAAGGGTCAGAGTCAGATGATGTGATGATGGAAGTAGAGGTCAGAGTCAGAGATGTGAAGATGTTACACTGCTGGCCTTGAAGATGGAAGAGGGCTACAAGCCAGGGAATGTGGGCAGCCACTGGATGCCGGAAAAGACAAGGAAACAGACTCTCCCTTGGAGCCTCCAGAAGGAGGACAGCCCTGTTTTTAGGATTTCTAGACCTATAAGATAATAAATTTGTGTTGTACTAAGCCACTAAGCTTGTGGTCATTTGCTACAGCAGCAATAGAGAAAAACTAGCTAGATAAGGAGATGACTGATTGATAGACAGACAGACAGACAGACAGACAGATATGTCTCTGGCTTAATAATAAGATGGACTCTCAGTAGGAGTACACGTCCTGAGTAATTTTGGCCTGGGATGGGATGGAGCTTCCCCCACAACGTAGGAGCTCAATGAATGTGCTCTAGAATGAAATGATCTCCCTGAGTGCCCCCTCCCTTCCCTGGGCCTAAAGGTTTCTTCCTCAATGAATTCTGTGGGCTGGTTGCTCTAAAAGCAGGATCCCTTACTCCCCGAATCTGCTCTCTGCATACAGGCCATAGTCAATCTTCATATCCTGGGGTGGAAATGAGTGGGCAAAGAGGCTTCCCTGCTGTAGGTGTGCTCTGAACTAGAGCATTTTGGAGGATCTACCAAGATTCTAGCTGTTCCCTTTAAACATGCAGATACATTTCTAGGAATGAGTTTTACCCACACGAATCCCCAGGGCTATTCATTGCAGTATTATTTAAAATGGTTACAAATTGGACCCAACACAAATGTCCATTAGCCCAGGACTGGTTCAGATTAATCAAAGGACATCCATTCAGTTGGATTCTGTGAGGCCATTAAAATGAATGAGTTAGATCTTTATGTTACTGACATGTAAAGGTGTCCATATTATTAAGAGATAGATAGCATAGGTGACACAATCCTATGTGTGTAAAAACTATACAAGTGTAGGTTTATATATGTCAAAAAATTCTCCCAACTTATCTGCCAAAACTAACAATAGTCAGTTCTGGGAATGGGCTTATATACTTCCGTGCTGTTTGAATTTTTATAACAATTATATTGTAATATGCTGTAATCATAGTTGGGGAAAAACGACTTTTTAAAAGTTCTGGCCTGGCTGTCAGAGGCAGGCTGAGCAGGAAGGAGGGGTGACGCAGTTCTCAGCTAAGGTGACCACACAGCCACACTGACCCAGCTGAGACTCCACAGCTTAGGGTCCAGAATCCTGGACCCCAGGTAGTCCCTGGGGTTTCTAATACCCTCTACATCCAGAGGAAGGGGAAACGGCACATATTAGGGTCATTCACATCTCCAGGAACCTGAGAATCAGTGATGCCTGCAGGATGCCAGCAGCAGGAGCCCAGGGCAGTGTGTCCTGGGGAGGGTCTGGGTCGGGAGTCCACGGACCAATACAGATCTATCACTTGGCAGCTGGTAACCTTGGACCATTTACTTGACCTCTCAGAGCCTGTTTCCTCTTCTGTAGGATGGGAGGGGAATTCTTGATTCACAGGGGGTTGTGAGGACTGAGTGAGGTGCCATATGCCCCCTAACACACACAGTAGGTTCTTGACTTGGTGTCTTTACCCCTCAGGCCTGGCCCTTAGACCAAGCCACCAATCTCCCCTCCCACGATGCCTGTACCTGCAGCCCAGGTCCACCTGGCACTGGGCACAGCGCCGCAGCTGCCTGGAGATGCAGGCCCTCCGAATGCAGAGACATGGCAAGGCCAGAGCTGCAGGGCCAGCCTCTCCACCAGGGCTGCAGGGGATGCGTAGGCTCTGCCACTGGCTGCTGTCATGGGCTGACTCAGCCGGCAGTGCAGGAGGAGGGAGACTGCAGGGCCTCTGCGGCACACCCACTTCCCAGGCACCCCCACCCGGGACAAATGTCTAGCCTCCTCCTGGGTGGGGCTGGTTCAGCCAGGGCTACCGACAGGCACATGCATGCATGCATGCACACACAAACAGAGATACACACACATACAAGTTCTACCCACTCGCCTGTACTGCAACAGTGAAGTGAAATTGACACTTTCCCAAAACAGTCATGATACTTGTATTGCCATTATTGTCACTACAGTCACCAGTCACCCATTTTTAAATAAAACTGTATTAATAAAGTTCATGATTAATGTGGCTATAAAAAAACAGCTATGACCCAGGGGCCTTCATCCTGGCCTGGCCACACCCTCTGTACCTCTGAGCAGATCACCCACCTTCTCTGTGCCTTGGTTTCTTTCTCTGTGAAGTGGAGAGGGTCACATTTGCTAGGAACCAGGGACGCAAGCAAGCAGGAGTGTGCTGAGGCTGTGAAAGGGGCAGGGAGGGGGTTACGGGAGCAGGAGAAAGGAGAGACAGAGTGTCGGGGCCAGAAGAGCCTCCCTGGAAGTTGACATTTTGCCTGGAATGGAAGGAATAGGAGCTGGGCATGTGCAAAGGCATAGGATTGGGGTGTTAGGACAAGTAGGGGACATTCCTCCCAGCTCCCCTGGTTTGCATCCTACCCCCCATATCTGTTACGAACCAGGAGTCCCCCTCTTAACTCTCTGGCCAGAACAGAATGCCATGGTCTTCCCACAAATTGCCCTCGCCTAAGACTCTGAGTGCCAGTGACCTTCCCAGGTGCTCTATTTGCCTTTACCTTAGGAAGTGTGGCCCAGGGGGCTTCCCAAGTAGGGAAAGGTCATGGGTCAAGTTCCTGGGTCACCACAGCCTGCTCTGGCTTAGGAGAAGCAAGAAATGGGGCCTGATAACTGGAAACACCACCCTACTGGAGCCACAGCACCCAGGACTATGCACGGCCCCAGCACTGAAAGATAGGAAGGGCTCCACAGAACAAAAGGCCCTTAAGAGCCCCAAGGCTTAGACGGCTGTTGCTGGCTGTCACATGCAGACTGGGCAATGCAGATGAATGACTGTCCATTTCCCCCAAGCTTCCTTCTGAGGAGGAGACTCTGGGGGTCCCACGGGTGCAGAGGCCCTCCCTCCCAATATGTAAGTTGAAGTAGCAGTGGAAGTGGTGAAAAGTACTTTAGAAGCTGTAAGGAGCTCTGTATGGTAGGTGCTTAATAAAGGTGGATGAGGATGGATGGATGGATGGATGATGGATAGATGATGGATGGATGAGGACGGATGATTAATGGATACGTAGAAGAGTGAATGGCTGGGTGCATGAATGTGTGAGGGCATGAGTGAGTGAATGAATGAATGAATGAATAAGTGAGCCATTAGGTGAATGGGTGAGTAAGTAAATGAGTGAATGAAAAAATGCTTAAGTAAGTCAGTACTTGAGTAAAGAACAAACACCTAACGTTACCTCTTCACTTAGGTGTAGGGAAGACCTGGAAAGAAAGCAAGAAAGAGGAGAGAGTGGCCTGAATGTTGAGGAAGCTGTGCTTTCACGCTTCTTTAAGGAAGCATCCTCTCCTGGCTTCCTGGAGAGCCATGTGTATTCAGAATGGAAAGAAGGGCACATGATTTGGGCAACATTCCTCAGCCCCACTAGGCCCGGTCCTGGACCTGGACTATCGGCTAGGCCACGTAGGTCACAGTGGAAAGACTCAGCCCTGGCAATCTGCCAGCCCCTCTGGGCAGCCTGGACTGAGCCCACCCACTCACTGTCATTGAGATGCTTTTCCATGTCCTTCAGACCCACAAAGCTCCCCAGGGCTGCATGCTGTGTGCTCAGCATTTACCCCCTGCCTTCTAACCTTCCCAGCAGCAACCACTCCCCACTGTGAGGGTGTCCCATGCCTTGTGAGGTAGTGGAGCCTCACAGGCTGGGGCAGATCCTCAGTTCTGTCATTTAGGCTGTGTGACTTCAAGCAAGTGCCTTAACCTTTCTGAGTCACAGCTTCTTCATCATTCAAATGACAGTCTTGCCTGTCTTGAGGGGTGGTTGTGAGGATATGGCAGGATAATACATGCCAAGCACCTGAACTGTGCCTGGCACATCATGTACACCAACACCTTATTTCTAGGTTCTTTCTTTTGGCAGCAATTTATGGAGCATTTACAAAGTTCCAGACAAGCCCTGGGCTCAGTGCTTTATATGATTACCACATTCAGTCCTCATAAGAAGGGTGTTAAGGATTGAACTGTGTCCTGCAAAAATGTATGTGCAAGTCTTAACCCCCAGGACCTTATCTGGAATACGATTTTATTTAGAAACAGGCTCTCAACAGAGGTAATGGAGTTAAAATGCAATCCTCAGGGTAAGCCCTCATCTAATGGCTGGTGTTCTTATAAAAAGGGAAAATTAGGACACAGAGAGACAACATGTAGAGGGAAAGACAATGTGGAATGCCATGTGAAGACAGAGGCAAGGGGTCTTCCCCAGCAGTTTTGGAGGAAGCATGTCCTGCCAGCACCTTTGGGACGTCCAGCCTCCAGAACTATGAGATGATAAATTACTGTTGTTCTAAGCCACCCAGTTTGTCACACTTTGTAGCAGCCACAGGAAACTATTACAGTGATGACACTGAGGCTCACAGGCATGATGACAGGCGGGTGAGGGATGTCGTGATGATTTCGTCATCAGCCAGAAGAAAGCATGTGTGAAGAAAGGGATGTGTGTGTGTGTCTGTATGTGAGAGAGAGAGAGAAAGAGAAAGGGGCAGGGAGAGAATATGTAAGAGAGGTTGTGTGAGCGTGTGTGTGTGCGCCTAAGGGAGTGTGCACAATAAGTCAAACGCCTGGGGAAAGAGGCACTTTCACGTACACCATTGGTGCCACCATTTGGTGGGCAACTTGGCAATATCTGCAAAATATAAATGCATAGATTGTAAGTTCAACCATTTCTCCTTTTGGAATTCATCCTCTAGCTAGAAGCAAGCACACCTGTATGCCAAGGTATGCGTGTTCACTGCGGCCTTATTGATAAGAACCTTGTCCCGCAAATTTGGTGGGGCTCAGATTCCAAAGGGCAGCTCTCTACACCACACAAGGAATTTGGACTTTAGTCTAGGGACAGTGGGGAGTCATAGAGGGCTTAAGTATGGGGAAGGACATGTTACAATTTGTGCTTTGGGTGGATTGTTCCAACAGAGTAGAAAAAGCAGAGCTGGGGAGACCCCACAGCTTGTCAAATGAATGAACTTGGTCAAGCCAAGCAGGTTTTTTAAGGGTCCTCTGAACACAGGAAGCCCCTTGTTTCTTTAATATGGACCCAAAGCTTCTGGCCCAGCTATGCTGTAGGCCCTCCTCTGAATTCAGGTGGCTGACTTCTCTCCATGTGCCTGATCATCCTGCCTTCACAGACTGGGGCTCCTCTCTGGGGGCTTGGGAGGTGGTCTGTAAGGGAGGATAGCTGGGTCCTTGGGAGGCTTTTGTGTGTCCATCAGTGGAGGAGACAAGTTGGGGGTCCCAGGAAAGCAGTTCACCTCCTCTTCCCAACCCAGTGAATGTCTCCCATCTAATGCGGCCACTGCCCTGCTGACTCTGGGAAAACCAAGCTGGAAACAAATGGAAGGTTGGATAGAGGGATGACAATGCAATGAAAGAGTAAGAGATGGAAGGGCTCCATGTAAATGGGACAGGATTCTGGAGCAGTCTTGAAATCTTTTCTCACCCTACTAATTGAACACGAACAGTGACAATGCAGCCCATTAAAAAAATGAACATGCAGGACCTTTGTTTAAAAATTAAGGATTTCAAGTCAGTGACAGTAGAATATTAAACCAGGGATGGGGTTCTTCTGAACATGAGACCTCGGGGGGCCACACAGGCACAACTATGAAGCTGGCCCTAAACACAAAACTGAGTGCATGCACATGTGTGCATTTTTGGGGGGAGAGGGCCCTTGACTGTTGAGGTCATGACCTAGAAAGGTTAAGAATCAGAGTAACTGAGGTTAACTGAGGGTCCCTGCCTCCACCACCTCCTTCCTCCCCCCAGACAGTCTAGGGCTTCAAATAGTGACCCATGGTGGCAGAGTGAAAAGTTAGTGACATGTTGTATGGGCAGGCTTTGGAGCAGGGCAGGCCATGGTGGCCGCAGGGAAAGAGAGAAGAAGACACATGAAAAATGGAGTTTAGGACTTAATGGACGGGATGTGGGGTGGGAGGAAAAGCCAACAGGAAGGCTGACTCCCGAGTCTGTGGCTCAGGCAACCAGACCTGCCAGCCGTGCCGCTATTCATGGAGATGAGACAAGCTGGCAGATCCGGTGTTTGTATTTTGCTTTGTTAGGTAGCCGAGGGAATCAAGAATCCCATTCCGGACAATGAAAAGGTGTCAAGCAGACAGATAATTGAGCTCAGAAGGTTGATTAGAGATACACACATCCTGGGGTCATTGGATAGAGATGGCGTTGAAGCCACGGAATAGATGAGGTCTCCCAGGGTTGAATGGATGCAAGAGCTGTTATTTTGGGCAAATTACTCAACTGTATTGCACTCAAGAATCCTCATTGTAAAATGGAGATAAGAATGATATCCCCTTTGTGGAATTCAGTAAGTGAGACTGTGAAAGGGAAATGCCTAGCACAGGCCCTGGTCCCTATCAAGCACCCAGTGAATGTCAGCCGCCATCATCATCATCATCATGTTATTCCTTCTACAAATGCCTATTGAGCCCCCCTCGTGGGTCAGGCATTGCTGTGGGTGCTTTGGGTACATTAATTATTGAGCATGTCAGAAGGTGGTAACTGCTCTGGTCAAAGAAAATGTAAGAAAGCGGGGGTCATGGCGTGGGTAGAGGGTGGTTGGGAAGCCCTGCTGAGAAAGCAACATTTGAGCAAAATCTCAGAAATGAGGGAGTGTGCCAGGTGCATTTCTGAGGATGGAGGATTCCAGGCAGAAGGAAAAGCCACTGCAAAGAGCCTAAGGAGAGTGGTGGGAGGTGAGGTCCCAGACGTAAAGGGTAGGGGGGACCTTCATAGAGGAACTCTTCATGGCAGAGGTAGCTGGTCCTCCAACAGGCAAACATGGGTCTCCAACACAATGAGGCAGACGGTTCTCCAGCATGGTGGAGGGAGCAGACATCCAACATGACGGCTGCTCTAGGCTTTGGGCAGGCCAAGGTTTCCCCTTCCCACCCGGCAACCCCCGAGGAGGGCCTCACCTGGCAGAATAGGCTCACCAGCAGGGCTTCTCCCGCTCTTGGCTGTGGAGTGTCCCCTCCCAGCCAGGCTCGGCTGGGCCTTTGCTCCAGGGCTCCCAATCAAAGCATAGATCTGAGTCATTTTCCTCTGAATCTGTGGAGGTATAAGACAAGGCCTCTTGGGTCACATCCTGTCTTCTACCCCTGACCCAAAAGGAGCCCCCTGCCAGGCCTGGGCATCCCAGGAGCCTTGTCTGAGACCAGGGGCCCAAGGCAGTCATAACAAATGGGACAGTCCTGAGACCTCAGGAATATTTCAGGAACTTGAATGGCAACTAGGGACCATGAAAGAAGGTTGTCCTGTGATTCAGAAAGTGGCCATATCTACCTACTACAGAGGGAAGGGCCCTTTAGGTAAGCAAATGACCTACCTGTACTGGGCATGGTCCAGGAGCAGGCATTGAGGAGACACACACACTACCCCATCGAATATCCAGCCATTTACTACCATGCACATTCATTAACAAATACCTGAGAACATACATAAATCATTTTCACTGCAGCAGAGTTTTGTGAGAAAACACCCTGGAAAACATGTGTGTGTGTCCATCATGAGAGGTCTGGTTGACTGAAGTGTGGCAAACTCACACCGTATGGAGACCTGGCCCACCTGCCCAGTGGCATGTCATGAAGCTGTTAAAATGACTGCATTAGGTCTGTATCTTTCAACTTTCATGATGTCTGTGATATAAAACAAGCAAGTTACGGAGAAATGTGCATGGTAGGATCCTTAAAAAAAAAAGACACACACACCCCTCCATTTAATGGAAATCTGCACATGCTATTAAATAGGTGCATGAGCTTGCCAAGATGGCTTACCTTGGGTAGACAAGGGGAGAAAGGAGAGGGATGGGGAATTGTTTTTTCATACTATAGTCTTAAGTTGTTTCACTGGTTGCAGAGAAGCAAAGGAGCTGCAGGGAGCCCTTTGATTGCAGACCAAGAGCACAAGACAGAAAAAGCTAAGCCTCAATTACTGCATCTGTAAAATGGGTGTAATAATATGCTCTTCAATGCTGAGGGTTAACTGAAGTAAGACATATAAAACAGGCATTCAACAATGTTGGTAGTTATACTGGTTTAGAAATCAGTGAGATGGCATAAGGTGACTATTTTTCACTAAAGAGTGATTGTCTTTCGAACACATTATTATGTGCTAGGTGGCTTAAATGCATTTTCTCACTTGATCCTGTTAACAACTTCCTGAAGGCAACTCTTAGTATTATTCATATTTGCAGATGAAGAGGGCTCAGAGGGTGAAACGTCCAGGCTCACAGCCAGGAAGTGGGAGCTGGACTTGAGTCAGCCTCCCGGCTCCACCGTCCACTGGGTGCACTTGTTTAAAGTCAGGTAAGTCAAGGGTAGCTTTGAATGTAACATCTTGCTCCAAGGACCACCGTGAGGGTGGCAGGATCCTCAGCAAGCATGGCTTGTTGAGCCTGCTCCTCTGTTTCAGCCCTCACTCCAACTCTCAGGAGGTTTCTCTTCTTCCTTCTGCAAATTCCTTTCCAGTCGCCAAGGGAAACATCCTTAGCAAAGCATCTTTTCCCAGAAGGGCACGTGTGGCTTCATCCTCTCTCCTTATGTCACTGCCGGGATTAGTATTGTCCCCAGGACTCAGCTGCCAGTCTCCCCAGGCAGCCCCCTACTCTTTCCAACTTGGGAAAGTGTATCCTCATGGGCCACGTGGCACTTGCTGCTCAACCCTCTCTGCCTTCTGAGCCCTGAAACTGCCTGCTGAGCCCATCCAGGCAGGGCAGGGACAAGGAATCAAGAGCTGCTCTTGTCTGCTTTTCATACTGGATTCCAGGCCAAACCGATTCCAATAAAGAAATCACAGCACAATGGAAAACCATGGGCCAGGGGTCCTAAGAACCAGCCCTCCAAGCCCTGGCAGGCCCAGACCCTGGGTTTGGCCCAGTTCCCAGCACAAGGATAGAACAGACACAGTAATCTGAGTTTCAAGAAGGGCCCCTGAGGGAGGACTGCTCACCTCACTTTAAGGACAGTTTCTGTTCACCATAAAATTACCAGAAAGACTTATTTCAAAGGGCCATGTGAGATGTTGGAGGGTAAACAGTCTCTCAGGAGAAATTCTGAGAAGGGTGAAGGTAGGGCAGGTTGTAGATGGTTTGGGAGCAGGGTGTCCAAGAATGAATCACTGGAGATAAGTTCTTAGACCTTAGGTAAGGTGTCTTCCCTCCAGAGAAGCCATTTGAAGCTACTACTACACTTCCTCTTACCTTGAAAAAAGCCAATACCAACTGGATTATTTCTCAGCCTACAAGCACCTACTATGTGCCCTGTGTACAGATACTGTGTGCCCTGCCCTTGACATGCATCTCTGCACAGCCCCAAAGGGTAGGGATTATCATCTCCATTTTGTAGATGAGAAAAGTAGGTTCAGAGAGGACTTGCCTTAAGTCACACAGCTGGTAGATGGCAGAGCCAGGATTTGACCAGACAACCGGTTTACTTAAGTACTTCATAGATGGGTGACCTTGGCCAGGTTGCTCTCTCCAAGCTTAAGTTTCCTCAATTATACGAGAAGGATTACTACACAGGGTTATTCTGAGATTTGCATGAAATAGTGCACATTGTGTTTAGCACAAGGCCTAGTACAGTATTCATAAGAGGCCAGCTATTATTATGAACTACTAAGGGGCAAGGCTGAAATCTGGGTCCACATCCCCTAGATTCTGGAGAGATGGCTTTTACAGCCACTATGCAAAGTCAAGGGCTCTGACTTCCACCAGCTCCCCAGCCCAAAGCCGGAGTTGCACTCCTCAGGAAGGGCTCTGGTCCACCCTAGGAATACGAAAACATCCTTCAAACAAGTATTTTCTGGATACTCCTGACAGGAACTCCCAATAATTATACCATAACCCACCCTCCCATTTTGAGCTCATGGGGCAGACTGGGGACTGAACTGCTCACCCTGTCAATGCCATCTGACTAGAGCTGGCAGCACACTCATCGAGACCTCCCTGCCCAGCTGGCCCAGGGTCGTGGACCTGAGGAGCAGGAGGCGGGAGGTCAAGCAGCCCCAGGAGAGACCCCTTGGTGAAGGGAGTGCCCAGCAAGACAGGGGACCTGAGAAGCAGAGTGTCATTTCTGCCATGGGGCCAGGCTGCACTGAGCCCGCTGGCCCCCAGCTTCCCTTATGGCCAGCTCTGCCACCTCGTGTTCCTCTTGGTGGCATGCTGAGCTCAAGACCAACATCCATTGGCTTCTGTGATCTTGCACCCTTAAGAAACCCATATCCTCTCTGATGTACAGTCTGGGCAGAAAGTAGTGTGAGTGGCCTCTGGACACCTGATAAAACACCTAAGGCTACAGTGTCCCATTGTGCAAGCTGCTTACTGCCCAAAAGCACTGAGCTGAGGGGTAGCAGGGCTGAAATCCAGCCCATGTTCTGCTCACTGACCCTTGTGAATGCGCAGAAGGGGCACCTTTTATTAGTTCATCTATCCAGAGCGGCCACCTCTTTCCAATTTGTACCAAAGACCTTAGGTGCTAGCAGTGGCCCTGAGGGGACACACATGTGCACACATACATACTGCTTACCAGTCAAAGTCAGGGATTCAGTCTCAGACTCTGGGTTAAGAAATATTACACTACTAAATCAACCCTTTTCTATTACAGGTGAGCACTTATCTTTGAGCCAGCAGTTAAAAAGCCTGCAGGAAACCCATCTCTACAGGCTTTTCAGGCCCCCTTGCCCTATTCGACCCCTGCCCACCTCCAGGATTAGGGCCCACCTGGGAGACTCACCTTGGCTAAGTAAGAAGCGTAGCCAGGTAATCAACAAGAACAGCAGCAAACCTACAGGCAGGCAGAGCCAGAACACCAGGAAAGAAAACGTGAGTTCGTTCATCAGTGGCACCAGAGGGTACTTCATGGAGCACATGTGGCTCAACTCGGCCAGCCGGGCTGGCAGAGCTGCCCTGGGGACCTGCTGGGCTGGGCCATACTCTGCTCTCAGCCCAACCGTGACTGGGCTGGTGATGTAACAAGAAAGTCAGAGTGTCCTTCAGCGGAGGGAGAGCTGTTTTGGATGAATGGGCAGGAGTTGGAGACAATTTGGCCAAAACCAAAGCCCAGGCTTCCAGGCAGGCAGGTTTAGGTTTGAATCCCTACTAAGATGCTATTAGGTTCATGTGACACCTGCCTGGATTCTCTTGTAAGGACAGAAATAATATTTATCTCACCAAGCTGCTAAAAGTTAGAAAATATAAATGATGGTATAAGCAGTGCCTTCAGGTGAGTGTCATGTATTTGAGGTCATCACAGGTTCCATCAGGGGCCAGCCAGGCCCCAGGTCCTGGGCTTGTTGTTCCATGGGCCCCGTTTACACTCTGGGAGTGGTGGGGACTGCCGTGAACTGCATGGAGCTTGCTATATCCAAGACAGGGAGCCGCTGTAGCTCCAGCCAGTAACTGCTCTGCGGGAAACACAGGTTCTATATTCCCAGACCCCCCGACTTTTCCAAGAGAACCAAAAAATCTGGACTTTTATATGAAATCTCCCAATTTAAAAAGTTGACTTAAAACATTCTAGGTTAGGTTAAACAAAATAAGTAGGCCAGGCCAGAGTGGTCACTGTGCTGCCATTTAAAAACTTTCTAACACTTAGGAGGCCCTCAATAAATGATTATCTAATCTGGAAGCTTTTGCACCTCTTATTAGAGTTTTTGGTGAGGAGCCTCTAAGGCTTTCACCTTGTTCCTCTACCTCCCAAGTGGGCAGCATACCTCCATATGTCAGGCCCTGTGGCAGGAAAGAGGCTTTAGACCTGCTGGGCCTGACATCCCTGAGCTGGAGGGAGACTCTGGGCAGGCTAAGAACCCGACGGGTGCAGGAAGTTCAGGAGAGGAGCGATGCAGCAACACCATATTCTCCAAAAGGTCTTTGGACCACCTGTTCTGGTCACTGTTGGCAGGTAAGTGGGGCTGAAGGGTACTTATGAAACATGCTGAATCCTGTGCTCACCCTGCTCTACTGAGTCAGAACTCCCGGTGAGGCTCAGGACTCAACACATTAATGAGCAACCAGTTTGCTGTAGACTTGATCTTGAGACCACGGCATCTCATGGAATACAGGTTGGGAAGTTAGGCAGACCCAGTTCTAGGCTTAGGGAGACATGGGGTGGAAGGACCCCTTTATAGGAAGACACTGACCCTGGAAGAAAGGCAAATAGGGCTGGTCATAGTACAATTAGGAAGGAGAGGGAACAGCGGATTAGAGGGAATTTTAGCCCAGTTGTGGGGTGACGAGTCCCCAGAAGAGAAGGCTGGGGCAGGTGGTAATAGAATGTGAGTACAAGAAGAGCAGTGCCCTGGCAGGCTGTGCCACTCAGGGCCCAGAGCCAGGATCAGGAGCTGGATGGTCTGGCTGGAGGTTGGGCGTGATTTCCATACTGAGTTCTGAAGGGGCTGGGTCAGAAAGGGCTGGGCAGGGCCAGTGGGAAAGGCTTGACCATACAATTTTCTTGCCAAATCCCAAAACAAGGTCACTGTGCAGTCAGCCCAAACAGAAGCTTCCCTGGCCACCAGGGCCCAGCTGGAGGTCCTTTGGGCAGAGCAGGTGTGGACACACAACTGAAGGGAGGCATCTCCGAGCCCTGGCTCCCAGGCGCAGTTCAGTGGGGTTGCATACTAACATTATGCTGAGTCAGTGCCAACCCGGAGAAGGTGGCTCCTGGCAGGCATGCACCATAACCATTCTCATCACTGTCTAACAAGTAGTACAACCACCCCACATGTGTGATTTAGGCATAAAGGTGTAAATCTGTCCCATGGAACCCTTATAGGCAACCCTATTCAAAGGGGCAGCGGGTGGTCGGGGGGGTTACCTCCTCTGAGTTGCTCCCCTTTGCTGACTGCCCAGCCCTGCCAGAGCTCAGACTTTCTGCAGGCAGAGACATGGAACTGGCCACTTCCATGTTCCAAAACACAGAGACCCAGCCAGCCTATCAGTAACTGCCAGCCTTTGGAAGGCTTCTGTTGGCAGTACTTTTATTATACAAGCTCCTCCCAGCATGGGCCAAATACTTTTCTTTTAAAATTAATCTAATTTTCAGTACATGAGAATCTACAAAACCTGGGTGAAAACCCACAGATCTAAATTATGAGAGGGCAGATAAAGCACAGCAGACCCCACTAGGAATACGTGCGTAGGAGCCAACCCCCCAGGATGGAACCAAAAGCACACGTGATGTAATTACATAAGAATCTTCTTAAAATTTAATTGACTAAATGTAGTACATTCAATATTCCATGGGTTTCTTCTGGACAAAGGAGCGGCATAAATACCAAACAAGCCTCTGGGCCTTCGTCCCTAACCAACGAAGAGAGAACACAGGAGGCAAGGGGACATGGGTACACCTTCATATTTACATTCGCCTTTACAATTCAGTGCCAGAAATATTTACAGAAAATACAATAAGAAAAAGATCATGTCTTGGCAACATACTGAAATTCATACAAACTGTATATATGATTTCAAGCAAATAATGATACTGCTTATTTTTTAGTCATAACTGCCAAGCCCTTCAGAGGAGAAAGATGTTCTTGGTCACTGTAAGGGACAAGGACTTGGGAAACTTGGTTTGCTTCAACAAATATTCATTGGGCGCCTACTATATGCAAGGCACTGTGGAATCCCAAATTATACCTTTTCCCTCACCATTAAAAAAAGAAAAGCATCTGAAGATGAGTTGATACTCTGAGAAAAACACTATACAGTACATGGCTTCTTTAGCTACCAAGAACCCACAGTTTGATTCCACATTAAGCAGGTGGATTACCTCCAATCTCTCCATCTCAGGCAAAGAAGCTGTCATGGAAATCCTTAAAACAGATCATCTAACTCAACTTATGTCTCATGTAAACATGTAAGTCAATTCTTTTCAGGAAGATATAACCTGAATGAGTATTAGTGGGGAGTCACTGCTAGCAGGAGTGTCAAATTACCTCCAGTACATTTTTCACTATCTACCACAGAACATGTCTGAGCAAGAATGACTCCCACTTTGGCTGAAATCCCACCTTCCAGTATCAATAAACACTCTGAAGACTCTGCCTCTCTAAAAACCACTCTGCAGAGCCTGACAAATGCTTTCCCAGATTATATAGAAAGTAACAATTCATGAAGGTCTCAGATATACAGCCTGCCAAAGATGTAGGTATTTTTTTATTTATGAGTCCAGAGAAGGGGATACCCTGAAATAGAGGACACGGAAATGGAGGACAGCATGCATGTGTGTGTGCACGCGCGCGTGTGTATGTGTATGTCCATGGCAGGAGGAGGGCAACCGACCTTGTAACTGTTCCTTTCAAAGAGCCAATGGACAAGAGGAGGTCTCAGGATGACCTACTGGACAAAAGGGAGAGCTTGGTTGAAGAAGAAAAGGCAAAAGCCCTCCTCTCTTCCTCAGTGTTCCTAACCAGAGAGGAAGATGAAAGCCCCCATCTTCCAAATGCGATAAGGGACTATCAAGGGCTACCTCTATTCCCTGGATAGTGCTTTCTGTATCAGATATGCCACATCCACCCACCTCCAGTACCACATCACATGCAGCAACTTAACTGTTTAAGCTACAGACCTAAGCGGTCCTGGCTTCCCCCCAAAGGTTATGAACATATGCTAGCAAATTTATCAACTAGGCTACTTAAGATTATTTATTAGGGATAAAATATGCTTTTTTGGCATGACTGTACTCAAAGTGATTTTTAATAAAGGCAGTTGGGTGAACTTAGTGACCATGAACTCAAACCCGTAGTAGTGAAAGGTCCAAAGGTTCTTACCACACTCCTGTTTTAGGTAAATGTTATTTTGAGCAGAAGAACCAGCACCTGATGAGGTATATGCATCCCATATTCTGTTTGTGCTGTGCACACTGGGGTTTCATGCCTTTGGGGGCTTCATGAACAGTCCTGAATCCATCCCTCCTTCCCTGGGAGACCACAAAGTCTTCCAGATCACAAACTGCATTCAACAAAGCCGTTCACTTATCAAAGCCATTTGAATTACAAAAGGCTTGCCAGAAATTAGAGCAAATTGAAGGATCAGGAAATCTACTCCCAACACACACCACAGTACATCCTGCTGACAGTAAAACCATGACAAAAATAAAAGTTTTATCTGAAGAACCACACTGAGGAAGTACACCTGCATCAGTTCTTTTTAACCTCTGGAGTGTTTAAAGTTGCACATCAATTTTAAGTTTTTTGTTTCACGTTCACAAGAGCAAGGGCCCATTTTTCTCTTGAAATGTCAACCTGGAATTTCCATGAAAGTTGTTAAACTTCACCTTATACCTGCTGAGCTACTAACGTATTTTTAGAGTAGAACCTGCTAATCTTTATCATACACCCCCCTACCCCATACTACTATTTGAAAGTAAATCAGTTTATTGCCCAGATTAAAAAGAAAATCAATGACTGAATAATATTATACCCTGAATGGAAAATGGAGTTGTAATAGGAGGAGTTTAACTTTACCTGAGCTTAAAGCAGACATGAAGAAAAGGGTATGGCAAACAAAGCCAAGAGCTGCCATGCCCACATTTCTTGATCATAGACGACAAAATACATACTTTCGGAATATAAATATTCCGGAAAGTATCTGCACAGGGATTAGATCCTACACTACCTCCACGCCTTAATTAAACTACCAACACGTCAAACCAAATAGACCACTATACCCCTGACCTACAGAATCTACTGACATCAGAGTTCAAGTGGGAAATAATTCCTTATACAACTGTGATCCCTCCTCTTTGGATTTTAAATGTCACTTATTTTCTTAACACAAAATAATTTTAATAGAGAAGAAACATAAAAATAGGAGAAATGAGCAGTGTACACTCTAGTATTGTAACAGGAATCCTTGTAAGGATGTTCTGGGTCTAGCCACCTCAAAACATTTCTCCCTGGTGGAAAAGTAGCAGCGAGTAACACAAGTATTTCCACAACCTGGGCAGGGACTTGTGCCTTTAGCTAGTGAAGTCCAAAAAACAGGACAACAGCCAATTTTAAAAGCAGCCACCCAAGGAGGTGGTCACTGATGTTGTTAATTATGATGAAATTCAGTGATTCTCTGGGAGAGATCTGAATTAGTAGCCCTGAAAGGCTATTTCCTGAACCCCAAATTAGAACTGTTCATAAACTACTACAGGTTCCTGATTGGTCCTAAAATAAGAGACAATGGATAAAACCAGATAATTTTCAACCCTTGCTGTGGATTTATATTTCTCAATATTTAACCAAGGAATTAAGAATGTTTAACCTGTCATTATGTCACCAAGCTAGATAGTAATGGAAAGGGTGGAGGCATCGCTGCTATCTCCCAACTTTTAACTCCACAAACTCCATTTATATCCTTGTTAAAGGACAGGGTCATGCCTCTGTCTTAGATCTGTTCCTGGGCTGCCCAAAACTGAGGCCTTCAGACAGATCTGTACAGTGATGAGATTGGTAACTTTTTGGAATGTGGAGAGAAAATATAAAATATTTTAATGTCAGGCTTATCTGACAAAGAGCATTTATGTTCTTTATGTCAGTTTGACAGATGGATGACAATTAGATGACAAATGGACCTATGAGTGAACAGAAAGTTGAGATTTCTTTCCTTCTCTTCCATGCTATCTTTAATATGAGTCTTTAAATGTTCTGGAAGATTCTGAGACAGATTTTAATTTGAACACAACCTCCTAAAAAAGTGAGGTATAAAACTATCATCAATGTCTAATTTGCAAATTTGATACTATCAATGCATGTGTTTAACTAAGATGCATAAAAGCCTTCTCCTCAAAAGGCTTATATTTGACTAAAATTGTCACTTTTAAAAGAAAGTTTATGGCTAAAATGTGTATCATTATTACCAGCAGGAATATGATTGTGTCTGGGAGCCCATTCACTAGAAAGCCAAAAGTCTTCTACCAAATGGGTTTATAATGTGTTTCTTCTACTCTGTTAGTTAAACAGTAAGCTCTTGGGGAGTGATTTGTTTTTATTTTTACAGTGATTACCTATCAAATTGTTTTGCTTTGATATTAAAGTCCCAAACTGGAGTTCAATAATCCTAGACAGACAGTGGTCTAAGAACTGCAGTTCTTGAGTCCAACTTCCTGGAAAAGTGAAGTATAAAATTCTGGCTCCAACTGCTTATTCCGGTACTTGTTGACAATATCGGTGATTTTCTGTTTCCGGCGAACATGTGGTGGACTGTAGGAGTCACTCTCCAATCTCTTTCTTCTACAGATATTAATTACAGTCTGCCTCACCAGAAAACCTTGAAAACAGAGGGTTTTAAAATCAATGTGAATAGCTAGTCAACTAGGTGAACTATCAGTATTCAAGTTAACTACTTTCTGCAAACTCAAACTATTTTATTCCATTTGCAAAACTCCTCATACCCACAAAGACAGAAAGAGCTTTATTAAGATAAAACTATCAGAAGAAACATACAATGACAAGAAAGAACAGAATCAAAGTCTGGTTTGACAACCCAATTCCTGCCCTGGATTACAGCTATCTGCATCTTCCAATACTGGAAGTTTGTGAATTACAGTTTTATTCATACTTTCTAGATTAAATGTAATTCAAAACAGAACAAAACATGCTTCCTTTTTAACAAGAGCCACAGTGTTTTCTACATGTGGGATGTATTAAGTAATATCACCATCTAATTTCTACTTCTTTTTGATCCATAAAAATGTTAAGGAAAAAGAAAGAAAGAAACCTTAACCCTTCAACCACATATGAAGACCTTACCAAGTGCTCGCCTGCTGACAATCATTCCATCCACCAGAGGGATGACCATGTTAAATTTTCCAGTGGCTCCTTGAATTTTTATCCGGAATAATCCAGTGTTTAAAGGGTGGATAAAGATGACAGGAACTTCTTTTTCAAGAGTGGTAGATCTTAGGAAAAGAAGAAAAAACTCTTTACCTCACATAGACGTATATGAGTTGAAGCCTGCCATGTGTAAAGTAAGAATATCAAGGGACTTGTTGCTGGGCAGTGGTTTGAGAAGAGCTACCTCTTCAAATCCTCTTTCTGGGAGTCAAGGTTGCTGCCCCCATCACCTGGCCCTAAATATTTGTCACTGAGGTTGGGCTTTTAAGCCAAGAAAAAGGGGCTAAGAAATGTGCTTAGAAAGTTCTAAGAGGGAAGCTTACAGCAATACAGGCCTATCTTAATACACAAGAAATATCTCAAAGAAGCAATTAACCCTATACCTAAAAGAACTAGAAAAAGAACAAACGAGGACCCAAGTTAGTAGAGGGAAGGAAATAATAAAGATCACAGCAAAAATAAACCAACTAGAGACTAAAAAAACAAAAAATCAATGAAACTAAGACCTGGCTCTTTGAAAAGATAAACACAACTAGAAAACCTTTAGCTAGACTCATCAAGAAATAAAGACAGAGGATGCAAATAAATAAAAACCAAAATGAAAAGAAGAGAGGTTACAACTGATACCACAGAAATACAAATGATTATAGGTCACTATGAAAAAAATATATGCCAACAAACTGGATGACATAGAATAAATGGATACATTCCTGGAACGATGCAATTATCCAAGACTGAATCAGGAAGAAACTGAAAATCTGAACAAACTGATTACTAGTAACAAAATTGAATAAGTAATCAAAACACTCCCAACAAAGTTCGATACCAGATGGCTTTACAGAATAACTCCACCAAATATTTAAAGAGTTAACACCTATCCTTCTCAAACTATTCCAAAAAACTGAAGAGGAAGAAAAGCTTCCAAAATCATACTGCAAGGCCAGCATCACACTGAGACCAAAACCAAAGACATGACAAAAAAAAAAAATTCTAGACCAATATCCTAAATGAACAGATGCAAATATCCTCAAAAAATATTAGCAAATCAAATTAAAAATTACACTAAAAGGATCATTTTCCACAACCAAGTGGGATTTATTCTAGGGATGCAAGGATGGTTAAAAATCTGCAATGTGATATACCACATTAACAAATGGAAAGATAAAAAACCATACAATCATCTCAACAGATGCTGGAAAAGCATTTGACAAAATTCAACACCCATTCATGGTAAAAAATCTCAACAAAGTGGGTACAGAGGGAAAGTATCTCAACATAATAAAGGCCATACACAACAAACACACAGCTAACATTATACTAAGTGGTAAAAAGCTGGAAGCTTTTCCTCTAAAATCAGGAATGAGACAAGGGTGCCTGTTCTCACCACTGTTATTCAACACAGTACTGTAAGCCCTAGCCACACAATCAGACAAGAAATAAAAGGCATCCAAATTGGTAAGGAAGAAGTAGAACTGTCACTATTTGCAGATGACATGATGAAAACTATTAGAATTAATTAATGGATTCAGGAAAGTTGTATGACACAAAATCAATGTACAGAAATCTGTTGCATTTCTATATACAATAATGAACTAACAGAAGGAGAAATTGAGAAGACAATCTCATTTACAATTGCCTCAAAAAGAATAAAATACCTAGGAATAAATTAACCAAGAAGGTGAAAAGACCTGTACTCTGGAAACTCAAAGACATTGTTGAAAGAAGTTGAAGACAACACAAATAAATGGGAAGATTTTCCATGCTCATAGCTAGGAAACATTATTGTTGTTAATATGGCCACATTACCCAAAGCAATCTACAGATTTAATGTTATCCCTATCAAATACCAGTGGTATTTTTCACATAACTAGTGCAAATAATCCCTAAATTTATGTGGAAGCACAAAAGACCCCAAACAGTCAAAAACAATCTTCAGAAAGAAAAACAAAGGTGGAGGTATCACACACCCTGATTTCAAACTATACTACAAAATCAGCACTGGTACTGGAACAAATATAGACATATAGATCAATGGAACAGAATAGAGAGGCCAGAAATAAATCTTGCAAAGGAGGCAAGAATATACAATGGAGAAAAGAGTCTCCTTAGTAAACAGTATTGGGAAAACTAGACAGCTACATGCAATAACAAGAAATAACAAGTGTTGGTGAGAAGGTGGAAAAAAGGGAACCTTTGTCGACTGTTGGTGGTAATGTAAACTGATAAAGCCACTATGGAAAGCAGGATGGAAATTTCTCAAAAAGCTAAAAACAGAAATACTGTATGACCCAGTAATTCCACTTCTGGGAATGCACCTGAAAACAAAATCACTACTTCGAAAAGATACATGCACCCCTATGTTTCTTGCAGCATTATTTAAAATAGCCAAAATATGGAAGCAACCTAAGTATCCATTGATAGATGAATAAATAAAGAAGATGCAGCAACATATATACAATGGAATTACTCAGTCTTTAAAAAGAATGAAAGCCTGCCATTTGTGACAATGTGGATGGATCTAGAGGGTATTATGCTGATGAAATAAGTCAGATAAAGAAAGACAAATATATGATTTCATTTATATGTGGAATCTAAGAAACAAAGCAAATGAACGAACAAACAAAACAGACATAGACTCATAAACACAGAGAACAGACTGGTGGTGGACATAGGTGGATGTTGGTAAGGGATGGGCAAATAGATGAAGATAAAATTGGACAAACTTCCGGTTATAAAATAAATTAGTCACAGAGATATAACAACGTAGGAAATACAGTCAGTAATACTGTAGTATTTTCATATGTTGACAGATGGTAACTACACTATTGTAGTGAGCATTTAGAAATGTATGTAATTGTTGAGTCACTGCATAGCACACCTGAAACCAATATAATATTGCATATCAACTATACTTCAATTTAAAAAAATATGCTTAGAAAATCAATAGGAACATAGGGTGGAAGGGAAGGCCAAAGAAATCTATTGTGGAGAGCTATGAATCTAGCAACCCACTATGGGACTTTTACTTAGTTCTTCCTTCATATAGGGTACAAAAGTGGGGCTGCTCAGAATGCAGGGAATTCCACTGCAGTCAAAGCTGGCATCTCAGAGCAGATGTGCGAATACGACTTAGACCCATTATGGAGAACCCTGATAGAATTCTTTTTCAGGAGAGGTGGGAGGACGTTGAGGTGGCCATTAGTCTGGGGCAGCTGCAAGTGCAGTCCTCAGCAGAGATGATAAATGGCCCTATTTTGGCAGGGCCAAAAGCCTTCTGAACAGGTAATGGGTGCTAAGGTTGTAACTACACCTTTAGAAGACTGAGTTACACATCATGTGTCTGGGATATGCCAATGCATCTAGAGGTACTCATGTTACTCTGTGGTGCTACTTGTCATGCTTTGTTTTTGGAGGTGTTTTTTGCAACACAATGAACTTTCTTTTTATACAGGTAAAGTGGTACTGGCCAAGCAACACTGAGTAAATTTTCAATACATTAAATAAAAATCAATCCTACAGTAATTCTGTACCTAAGATAAATACTAAACTTTGCTAATCTAGCAATTAAATACAAATTTTAAAGTCTAGTTATATTAGCACTTTTGACCTAAAAAAGATTAAACAGCAAGAAACAGTACAAGACACTTAAAAATTCTCCTCCAAACTAGTTCTTGAAAAGTCTCCTCCAAACCTCATCAAGACTACTTTAGTCTCTTCAGCAAGTCAGTGGCATGGAGGAAAAAAGAAAAAAAAGACGCTGGATTAAAAGAGACTGAAAGAATTTACACCAGAAGTGAGATCCTGCAGTGCAATCTTGTTTGAACAAACTAGTTTTATGTAAAGGGTATTTTAGAGAAAATTAAGAAATTTTAATATAAACTGGTTTTTAGATGAAATTAAGGGATTGTTACTAATTTTATTATTGTGATAGTTACCTAGTTGAAAAGTATTCCTAATTTTTAGAGATGCATATGTAGTGTATAAAGTATGTTAGGATATCTGTAATTTGCTTTAACATATTTTGGCATAAAAAACATGTAAGTTTTAAGAATGACTTTTCTTGTAGAATTTAAAAATGGCAATGTCAAACCATCTTTACTCACTTCATTTCTATAATAATAATCTAAGTGTTATAATAAATTCATCTTACATGGAATACAAATCAAATCACATAAATAGAAGGAATTCACTCCAAGTTAATATATCAAGTTTAGCTTGATATCAAGGGTAATTCTGTGATGTGTAAGATGAGGTCCGAATTTGGGGTCAGAGGCCTGGGTTCAGAACACTTTCTCCTTCATTTACTAGATATGTGATGCTGAGGAATAACCTCCATAAACCTGTTTCATCCCATTTGAAAAATGGACATGATAATTGTACTTCTTGGAACTATTTTAAAGTATTTGTGTAAACCAGAAACAGCAAGCAAAAGCCTTGAAACTACAATCTATACAGATACACTGTTACTGTTCTTAGAATTGTTATTACCCTCTTTTATCCTTTTTGTGCATGGGCAGCTTAAAATACAAAAATCTTAACACTGTAACAAAGTTATTAGCATTACATTTTATTTATAAATATTTTTCAAAATAGCTCATGTTATTAGGACTTTTTAACTGCTATCTATCCAGAATGTTCTGACCAATTTAACTCCATTATTTCTAATATTGCTACTCTATTATCAGTCTACATTACTACTTAATTGCCTCTACTACATTTTTCTTTTTGCTGCAGATAAATGTAAAAGAGCAATTAATTATGCCATTTAAATATCCTTGGTAACTTGATTACTCTGTGTATTTATTTACCAACTTATTTGATGTTTTTCCATAATTGTTTTTTTCTTATTGCCTTCAACTCTTTTGTTTCACTATGTCTTTGTTTCTTTTATTAAACTGCAATCAACATATTATAACAAACAGGTTTCTTTATGCTTAAAGAGAAGCTAACAAACTTCAAGCAATAAAAAATGTTTGTACCTCAGAGACGTGCTACTATTTGCAGTAGTTTCCACACCAGTACTAATCTCTGTCATCAGGTCTGAGAGAGGAAAATTTTCTGGAAGAAAATAACAGCATTACAATGAACATCTCTCCACATTTCCCAAATAAGTTACAGGACATCTACTTTCCTATTCTCTTTAAGAAGTTTGCAACAAATATATGGATTGTGCAATCTTAAAATATATAATCCTAACAATTCCTTACAAAATTAAAAAAATTCTCCCTCAATACATACTTTAGCTAAGTTCATCTAAGCAGAGAGTATGTAGGAAACATGATCTATGTTCTCTGACAGTTTGTTTGGAAAGTAACTATAACATTTTCCCACAAACACCTGAGGCTGAGATTTTGGGCTAAGTATGCATTTCTAATGCTCTTATGTTGCTTACATAAAAATCATGAGAAACTTATCCATAGCAGAATTCCTTAGGACAAATTAATCTTTACACTAAAATTAGACAGTAGGGAGAGTGGAGAGAAGGCAAGGGAAGTACTCTCCCTTTTCCTTTTCAGAAGCCCTGGGGTGACTGGGAGCTATGTGCAGTGGGACCAACTGGTCCTGAACCATTAATTAGGATACCAAGAATAGCTAAAGGCTTTATATCTACTTATCTCATCAAATCTTCACAACTATGAAATAAATACCAGGAGTGTCTCCATTTCACCAATGAGCAATCTAGGGCCTAAAGAGTGGTGGAGCTGATGGGATGCAAACCCAGGCTTGCTGAACTCCAATCCCAGCTCCTGGCCACCACACCATGCCTATGCTGCTCCTCCCTTTAGACATTTAGCAAGTCACTGTCATTCTATTATAATTTTAGCTACAGATAAAGTCTTTACGTAGTACCTATATCATCATAACGTTCCACCCAGACCACAGAAACTCTTGTCTCTGGTCCAAGGGGAGGCACGGAGCGACCCTGAGGCAGCTTCTTCATTCTGGAACTGGGACTGAGCTATACCAGGCAGAGAGAAAAGCAGAGAAGAGAGAAGACCAAAAAAAAAGAACAGGCTTAATAAAACTATCCAAACACACATTCATCAAACTGTCCAGTGTAAATATCAGGTCATGGGAAATCACTTAAGAAAAGAAGTGTGAACTACATTTGCAAACAAGCTCTTCTTTGGCTCTTCTGTTTATCAAGTCTCAACCTAGAACAAAGACATGAAGGCCTTAAATTTTAAAAAGAAAAAAGGTAAACAATACTGAATTATTATAATTTACATTACATTAATTTTAGAATAAAACTTTCAGGCAATGTCTTAATGAGGGCTTAAAAGGATTTGAGCCTATCTCAATGGCCAGAAAGTATGCTTTCTGCATCACTGCAACGTCACCGATTTACTTGGAGATCCTAATCTCTAAAATGTCCCATCAGCAAGTTATTCTTACTTCTCAGACCAAATGTTTCCCACTACAATCTAGGCCAAAAAAATTCCTTTCTCTTGTCAGCAGAAAGCAAAAAAGAGTGACTTAGGTCTCTGCTATCAAGCACAGTTTGCTTTTGGCTCCTCTGTCCACCAAATTGGCTTTATATCTCTTTGAAAGGCTAGCAGGACTAAATGGCTCCCCTTTAGCAAACTGACCCTCTGAGCCCCACAATTTTTAGGGCATGCAACAGGGTTGAGTTTATGCTAATGCCTTAAGCAAAACTATGTGTAGAGAATGGAGAATCCCATACTCGTGAATTTTTCAAAATAAGACTGCCTTATTAGCACAGAAATACACTTGTCGTTACCAGATGACCAGAGACCATGGCAACTCCCCCAGATTCTTGTTTCTATTTCCATTTTAGCATTCATAAAAATGACTGTCAACAAGAAATCTTCCCTAAACTACTGGCAACACCCCGCCACACAACCCAGAGACTATTTTCTTGGCATCATGGCTCCTAATCAGCTTTGAGTCTCTAACTTTCTCCATCTCTGATTTCCAGCTGTAGATTTAAAGGGCTCCTGTGATCAGGTCAAGCCTAACTGGATATCTCCCCTTTGACTCAAAGGAACCTTAATTTTACCCAGATAAGGTAACATAATCACAGGATAGCTTGTCATATTCACAAGTTCTACCCACATGCAAGAGGAGGACATTACACAAGGGCAAAAGTCACTGGGGGTCATCTTAGGATTCTATCTAACACAGTGATGATTTTTTTCTGCAACCTTGATAAACTCACTCAGTGAATCTAATAGATTTTTAAAAATAGGTTCCTCAGGGTTTTCTACATACATACTCATGTCATCTGCAAATACATAGTTTCATTTCTTCCTTTCCAATCTTTATGCATTATTTCTTTTTCTCATTTTATTTCTCTGTATTGGGCCTCCACTACAACGTTGAAAAGAAATGGCGAGAGTAGATGTCCTTGCTTCATCCTCCATTCAGGGGGAAAGCATTCAAGAATGAGGTATACGTATAATGTTAGCTGTAGGTTTCCAGTAGAGCTCTGTTTTGGGTTGAGGAAGTTCCTTTCTATTCAGTTTGCTGAAAGTTTTTCTGGTGAATGAAATGTTGAACTTCTGTCAATTGCTTTTTTTGCATCTATTGAAATACTGGTATTACTTTACTTTTTTAAATTTCTTAGTAGTTTGCAAAGAATAAGTGATAAATAAAAACAAGGTGCTCTAAGAGTGTCATTTTTTGGATTTTAAGGGATATGTATGTTGGTATTCAGAAAATTACTGCAGCGGCAGCTAATCACCGCTGTCAGATCTGGCTAAAATCCTGCATCACCATCCAATACTGGTCTGTTCATCTCCGATACCTAACTGTACTCTGCGAAACCTTTTTAAATATAGCAACTCCTGATTTTCAAAATCAGTCTACTTCCAAGGGTCTTCTACAACTTGATTTTTTTCCTAAATCAATTTCAAAGGTGTAAACCTCTCCTGTATTCCCTTTTAAGTGTATACTTAACATGTTAAAAACAATTTTCACCATGGAAGGAGCCAAATTAAAATTCTGTACAAAGAAAGAATAGCTTCTGTCAGGTTTACACTTCATCTTTCTTACTATTTGTTGTGAATCATCATCTCACACTTATGAACTGATCCTAAACTCTTGCTATCACTCACTAAGTCACTTTCCAGTAAAGATTAAGAGGTAACATGAGGGGAAAACACAGATAAAGACCTAACATCTAATGATAAAATAAGAGCAAAGCATAAAAGCAAGATGCTCTCTTCTTGCAGTAGCTGCTATGTGTCTCACTGTGTTTATTCATACACTGGGCTATTCTCCAAAATGCTATCTTTTGTATACAGTCAGACTTGTTGCAGTTGAATGTTACATGATTAAAGATGTGGAATGTATAGCCATGGCTATACAGCTTTAGTGGCTATTTCAGGGACCAAATAAAAACCTAGGCTTGAGAAGGAATGGGTGAGAGAACCAAGCATGGTACCAGGATGGCTAAATTAAGGAAAACAACAGAAGCTGTCTTAAAATAACCTATCTGTTGCAAGCTGAAAAGAAAAATAAAATTGTGAGAATATGATTTTAAAATACTACATACTAACCAGTCAGTACTGCTATAACTACTCTCTGGGATAAAGTAAAAGCTTTTCATCCAGTATTACTCCCATTGTACTACAAATTTTTGGAGATGTATTCACAAAGTGACTTACCCTCTGTGAGGAGTTAAGGTTGTCTGTATGATTAGGGAAAAGCTCAAGTGTCAGGGATGGCTGTTTCAGAATTCCTGGCATGAGATCCATATTTGAATCACTATCTTGATCTGAGATGTTACTTTCCAATGAATCAGCTATGGGGTAAAGACAAAAAATCAATTATAGCAATACTATACCTTTGGAACATAGGTATTTACACTAACTATACTAACAGTCTCAAGTCACTTAAGCAAAGCTTGTTTCTAGAGTAAGTTGGCAAACTTTTTCTGTAAAGGATCAGGTATTAAATATCTTAGGCTTTGCTGGCTCCACTGCATATTCTTCTTTGTGTTTTATTCACAACCCTTTAAAAATGTAAAAACCATTCTTCATGTTCTGAATTTGACCTGTATGCCACAGTGTGCCAGCTCCTGCTCATAGGACAAGTGAGACTAGAAAATATTTGATTTTGCAGATGTAGGATACAATAAAGGCCACCTATTATTCTCTGAATTATTTTGCTTACATCTTCAATCATGTAGCATGGCATCCCCAAGCTACAAAGGACCTAGTCTCTGTGAGTAAGCAATCACCTTGTTGGAGACAAGCACAGAAAGAGGCATAAAAACCAAAAACAAAGACAAATCTCAAGAAACAGGAGGAGACTGAGCTTTGCGGCAGGGCAAAATTGGCACAGAGGAGGTTTCATGACAGGGAGTAAAGACCCAACTGTGGGAATCACAGTGTAAGGACAAGGATCTAGCTCTGGGAGACCTGGGCTGGTGCAAGCAAGTGGGACGAGAGACACCAGGCAGGGAGATTCAGCCCACAGAGGACAAATGTGACCTGGCTTCTGGAATTGGGGTAGATCACAACCTGGACACAGAAGCAAACAGCTGCTAGGATACTGACTTAGACCAGGGAAGGTCCCTCTTGTCAGGAACACAACCGGCCCTGCAGTATGAGATGGAAATCAAGGGACCAAGTATAAGGCTCCTGGTCATTAGCCAGGAGATGAGACTGTAAGTGTGATGTGTAACATCCCATTCTGTGGGTGATATCAATGAATAAAGTGAGGTTTTCTACTTACTGCCTTGTCAGGTACAAAGAAACAGGCTTAATTTGCAAGAAGCAATATTCTAGGCAAAATAAGGCTGTGAGTTTAGACTCAGAAGTAATAATCACTCCTGATTCTTAAGGACAACAGGATTGATCGCCATCTTTTCTAGGCTGCTGAAGTTTCTTCTACTTGGTGTTAGAAGATCAGCCAGATGCTACTGTGAAAAACTTTCAAATGCAGGATTCTCTGGGGTCCTACATAAAGCTCTCGTATGGAAATAGGTAAGTGGGTGGGGGCTCACTCATAATTAGAGAAAGAAATGAATAAACTAGAAAACAGGACTTCAACAGATTGATTAAATTAAAAACAAAGAGGGAGTTGATGTGGGTCTCCTTAGCTATTTGAAAATTATTATTGGAGGGTTAGTTCTGCTTTCTTTAACTATTTTCCTTAAGCACCTTAATCCCATACCTTTGCATAACCTAAAAGCTATCATGCCTCAGAAGCTGAAGAATACCTTAGATGACTTCAGAATTTCTCCCAATGCAACAATGCTAAGCCAGGGAATACAAAAATAGATTCTACAACATCATACAGAAAATCATCTTACTTAAGGACTCCACAGGAGAAGGGACTACAAAAGCTATTTCCGTAAGGGCATCAGCATAATACAGCACCTTCTTCTGTCCATTGAAAATGCTGGCCCCAATGTCTTCGCAGGGAATCACTTCATCTAGAAATGAAAAACACTACATTACTGCTCTAAAAATTAGGAAAAATTCACTATCATCCTGTTTCATAAAATTTTCACTGGTTAATAAAGTGATAAGTAGAAGGTATGTTTCCAAGAAGAACCAATTAGTGTGTAAGAGGAATAAACTGTAAGCACTCATCAAGTACCATTACACTAACTTTAAATTATAAAATCTTAATTTCATAGTTTCTGAAACCACTCTACATCAGACCCACTTCTGATTAGCAGGGCCTCGGGATCATCTACCTGTGGCAGGTTATGGGAACAGTCTTTTTGGAAGAGGTATAATCAAAAGGAAGACTACCACAACAGTCCGTCTGAAGGGAGCTGGGGCAGGTACCCGTGTGTGTGTACTCTCGCTCTCACGGTGTTTCTGTCCTTGGTCTCTCTCTACTACTCCTTAGCTCTGCTCCTGCTCCACCTTCCCCAATGGTCAGTGACATAACATGAGAAGGTACAGGCAGTTTTATAATAGTATCTGTTTTAAGTCAGCAAGATTGAATTAACAAAAGTAACAGTCCTGAGAGCTAATATAGTACTCAGTTAAAATGAAAACCATGTTGTACTAGTAATATACAAAAGACCAACAACCTGACGAAAGATTGGGAAGAGGAAATGAACAAGTAGTTCTCAGGAAAGAAATAAACATAGGAAAAGATGCTGAAACTCAATCATAATTAATCACAGAAAACTTCTCACCTAACAGACTGGAAGATATCTAATGTTAGCAATGCAACAGATAGGAAGTTTAGACCAGAAGTTAGCAAACTTTTTCTATAAAGGCTCAGAGAGTAAAAAGGCTTTGCAGGCCCATGTGGTCTCTGCCATGACTACTCAAGTCCGCCATTGTAGCACAAAAGCAATCATAGACCACACATAAAAGAGTGTGCTGAGTTCCAATAAAAAAAGACAAAGACAGGCATGGGCTGTAGTTTGCTGACTCCTGGTTTAAAGTGGGAAGGCACTTTGTATCTACTGCAGTAGATGGCTGTGGTCCTGCTCCAACACACTTCACCCTCAACTCTGTAGCAGGCATGAATGGTGAATGGGATTCACCCTTCACACCAGCTCTACCTTGTCTGTACCTCTCTGTCAGGGTCATTCCATCTCTCTTGTCACCATGACAGGTTCAGGGTGGCTCAATCACTGTGTATCTCAGGAGTTTGAGAGTAGGGAGGTTCTGAGACCCAGCTAATCTCTCCACTTCAAGCTAATGTGGTATGTGAATATAAAGCCTGGAACTGCCTTCGTGCACTATGAGAGAAGCTAAGCCGGGGACAAAGCCAACACATGGAAAAGGAAGAGAAACTGAACAAGAGTGCTGATCAGATGACAACAAAAATGTATACTAATCTATAGAACTTTCAGTTAATGAGGCAATAAATGACCTTCAAAATCTGAGCCAGTTTATCAGGTTTTTTTGTTACCGAACCATAAGGATCCAACTGATACATTTATCAAATTGAAAAAATGTGCATATATTTATCAATTATATACTTACAGGAATTTAGTCTATAAATATATTCAAGCACATATTAAAGGATATGTGGAAATTAAATTAGAATATTTAATATTATAAATCCCCAAATACTTTGATTCGATTTTGGTTAATATTTTAAAAAACTACCAGTCGCAAGTCACAACAGTACTTAACAGGAACTTTGAGAGTCTAATTTTGTTACAGAAGAACTCTGTTAACTTAAAGCCCCTGGATTCAGGCATTACCTACTTCAGAGAGATAATATTAATTTTCCAGGGACTTCAGGAGCCCTCAGAACAAAGAACAGTAGCCAGGTGGGGCAAAGTCTTAAGTGTGAATTCATACTCGCTGTGGTACTTGTTATCCTGATTACAGTTCCTCAGCAGGACTTGTAGAGATAGGAATGAATCTCTCAGAGATAGTCAGCTGTTTACTACAAAGGTTTTTATCTACTATCCTGAGAATGGAACCTTTATTCATAGCTTTAAAGTCTATAAAATACACCTGTTAATAGAAAACTATTTATTTGATAAAATATGCTTGTTAGGAAATTGTATTGTTTGCAATAGATAACCTAAATTTATTATTATATTATTATAGAAAATGGAATTTACTTAACATCATAAAAAAGGAACTTATTGGCCTATGATAATTCAGCCATTAATTTTATATTAACTCTCACATATGTATATAACATTTATATACATATCCAATTTTTATGTATATACATATTTAAAATTTTTTTCCACATACACAGAAAATATCTAAAAGAACATACCAAGAACTATTACTAAGTGATCTGTGAGCACTAGGATTAGGGAAAGGAGACTTTTCCTTTTTATACCTCTGTTAGTTTGTGTATTTAATAAAACTACAAACTCATAGTAAAGGGGAAAATTCAAGAGCAACAAAAACAAGAAAAAATAAATGACGATCATGAATTTTACCTTGTTCGGATCCTTCACTATCATTGCAATTGTTAATAGACCAACTGGTAGAAACATGCCCAGTCCAACCAGGGTGTTTGCCCACATCTACTGACCAGCCAAGGGAGAGCAAAAATTCCAGGAAATGTGGCTGAACATTTCTGGAAGATTCCACATTCTTCAAAATCTGAAATACATACTAATCATTAGCTATACTGAAGGAAACAAAAGGTCATTTCAAAATAAATCTTCAGAAAAATCAGTTAGCTTTGAAGTGTCTGAAAAATCAAGTCCAGGCTCAGAATAAACTTGGGAATAAATCACTGCAGTTAAAATCCACACTTTCAAGTTAGACAGATTTGGGTTCAAATCCTGCCTGGGCCTTGGACAAGTTTCTCAACCTCACTATTTCAGTGTCTTCATCTATAAAGTAGGGGTAATCATGATGGTTGTGATGAGTAAGTGAGATAATCCAAGTAAAGCCCTTAGCTCCCTCCCTAGCAAAACAATTATTGAACTAGATTTGTTTACTGAAAGTAAACAGAAAACACTGTGTCAGAGTTTACTGTCTGGTTAGTGAGAGACATTAGATAAGTATGTGATTTTTTAATTACAAATCTTGACAAATGGTATAAAAAGTACAAACCTTTAAAAAAACAAAATAAAAATTAGGTATAATTAATAAATGAAAGTGAAAACATCCTTCTCTTAAGAAGAGAATACAGCCATTCCAGAAAAAAAATCATCTGACCAGAAGGTTCTTTCCTCCTCACTAATTACCAAATTTAATACCTGGGCTTTTTATTGGCCTCAACAAGAAAAGTCCCTTGTTCTAAAACAGTGGTTCTCATAGGGGTGATTTTGCCCTCCAAGGGACATTTGGCAATGTCTAGAGACATTTTTGTTAGCACCAATGGTGGGCTGCTAGTGGTATCTATTGGGTAGAGGCCAAAGATGCTAAATGTCTATTTATAGGACAGCTCCCATAACAAAGAATTATCTGGCCCAAAATAGCAATAGTGCATCTGTTGACAACTCCATGCTAAAGGAAGGAAAATGAGAAATACTCTACAAATTAAAAATGAAGTGGGGCGAAACAGTGTATTAAAATCACCTGGGGAATTTCTTAACCATAAGATTCTCTTAAGCACACTCCAGACCTCCTAAAGAATCAGCAGAGGTAGTATCCTGAAATCACTGTTAAGAGCTCCCCCAAATGACAGTGATGCAGCCAGTCCACGGAACACTGATGTAGTTCATCAATGCTCATCTATGTCAAGACCATCCAGATGTGTAAAAAGGCAAAATATGGCATATTGTATCTTCTACTTCTCAACCCACTGGGCACCACTGCCAGCCCATCATCTCTTCAACACTTCTCTTTAGAAGTTGCCTATTTAGTTCACCCATATCCCTTCACTTCAACTTGTAGGCCATTGGCTGGCAGCAGAAAATTAATCTAAATCTGCCCTATGGCCAGGGAAGGCAGGTTTCAGGAATTTTAAAGGCCTCAGATAGTATTTGTTGTTTCCTAGTCCACTCAGTCCCTTGAAAGCTAAGGAAACTGAATTGGTTCAAGATTTACCTCAAGGGTTTATGTTTTCTTTTATAAGCAGGAGAAAAATGGCCCCATTATTCTCATATGAACCATGCATTAGATTTCCTTCAAAATAAATCTCCAACCCCTGTAATTAGTCTCCTGTTTTTATACTGAGGTTCTTCAAACAACTTGAGTCTACCAGTCTTATCCTCATCTACCATAAGCCCACATTCTCCCAAGCTCCAAGAATACTGGACCCAATAATGAATTCTGAGAAGATGTAATTCTCTCTTACCTCCATGGTTTTTACACATGCTATTACTTTATAGTAATAACCTGCTTCTACTTTTCACCTATTGCCAATGTGTACCTCAAACACCAACATAGATGTCTTTTCTTCCAGGATACTTTCTTTAAACCAGGTCAGGTTTTGCTATTACAGCTCGTTATAGCTGTTCCATCATGTGCCTTCCCCTTTAGATGGTAGTTCTCGGAGACTAGAAACCTTGTTCACTACTATAACCATGGCACCTACCTAAAAGCAAACACTTAATAGATGTTTACTCAATCAATATACATGAATGAGAAGAACTTTCTCATAAATCGATCTCCTTTTCTAGCAGCTTACTAATAATCTGAAATAGTGCTTCAAGTATAAACAAACATTTCTTGTGACTTTGGTAAATTTAAGATGTGCTCAATTTGATTATCTAATGTTCTTACAATGATTACAGTAAAATTCCTGGATTGTATAGTCACAGTGCCCTACACATCTGAATAGTATATTTCATAAATCTTCCATTGGCCCTTTCCTAGTCACAATTGGTAACTATCTGCCTATGCCATGTTGCAACTCATCCATCTGCACTGTTTTCCATTCTAACCTAGCTTGCCCTTTTCTTCATACTTACAAGTATCCAACTGTATTTTACTTAGTCTTCTGTTTTTATCCTTTACTTGATTTCAGGTGTTTTCCCCACTGCATACACTGCATGCCTCAACTGAAATTATTTGCTCATGAAACTACCCAGAAGGTGAGCTCCTTAAGAGGAAAGACTGTTATTCACTTTTATACCCTGGCACAAGCCACATGGAAGATTTCAGTAAATAACTGTCGCTGTTATTGTTTTTAAACAACAAAAAAATATCGTTTACTCTTCTTAAGCAATTAGGCCTAGCTTTAGCTTTTAATGGTTAACCTGCTGTTATTTTAACTACTTTTGTCTTATGAATCTGAATTTCTTAAGGGGAAGAAAGATATGCTATAGCTCTCTAAATTATATCCATTGAGAGTCAAAAGACTCAGAACTCTAAGCATCAGGTTTTTTTTTTTCTTCTTAAGGTATCATTGATATACACTCTTATGATGGTTTCACATGAAAAAACAATGTGGTTACTACATTCACTCATATTTTCGTGTCCCCCTCATACCCCATTGCAGTCACTGCCCACCACTGTAGTAAGATGCCACAGAGTTATTACTTGTCTTCTCTGTACTACACTGTCTTCCCCATGATCCCCGCCACAGCATGTGTGCCAATCCTAATACCCCTCAATCCCTTTCTCCCTCTCTCCCTACCCACCCTCCTCCATCCCTCCCCTTTGGTAACCGCTAGTCCCTTCTTGGAGTCTGTAAGCATCATAGTTTTTACTAATTCAGTTTCTGAACTGGTTCACAACAAATCTTTATACAACTCACCTCTTACCATGGATAAGTGCAAGCTGTGCAAAATTTTTTATATTTACAGTGTATAAATTTTTATAGCATAAAAAATTACCCAAAAATTCCGAAATCTTACCTCCTGGTTTGTTTTCTGACCTGGTTTCATATAGAAAATAAAAACTGTGTCGAAGGGACGACATGGCAAGAGATCCAAATACCCAATGTCATCAAAAAATCCAGGTATCATGGAGTCAAGGGCAATAAGGTGAGGAGGTAGACGACTATTTGCAGGTTCCTACCACCAAGCGAAGAAAGAAGTTATTATCTCTTTTACTATTAATTATACTAAATAGCATTATATATACTAATGATTTAATAAGGTAAAAAAATCATAAGTGGCAGGAATAAGCACAACCATAATCCTAAACTAAAGAAACCAACATTCTTGTGTATTTCTTTACAGTTCTTTCACTTGCCTCTTTTGGTAAAAGACAACTGAGATCATGCTAAGTTGTAATTTTTGATCTGATTTTCTCTATAATATTTCATACTTCCTGGAAATCTTTTCTTTTTTTTTCTTTTTTGCATTTTTTTCTCATTCATTGCTGGTGGAAATGCAAAATGGTATAGATACTTTGGAAGACAGTTTGGTGGTTTCTTGCAAAGATAACTATAGTCTTACCGTACAACAAAGCAATCACACACTTTGGTATTTACCCCAATGAATTAAAAATGAATGTGGAACAAGAACCTGTGCACAAATGTTTACAGCAGCTTTATTTACAATTACCAAAACTTAGAAAAAACGAAGACGTTTTTCTATAAGTGAATGGATAAATAAACTGTGATGAAAGAAATAAGCCTATCAAGTCACAAAAAGACGTGGAGGAACCTTAAATACACATTGATTGCTAAGTGAAAGAAGCCAATCTGAAAAGGCTACATACTATATGATTCCTACTAGATAACATTTTGAAGAAGCCAAACTGTGGAGACAGTAAAAACATCAGTGGTATGGGAAGGCGGGGAGAGAGGGATGAATAGGCAGAGTACAGTAGATTTTTTAGGGCAGTGAAACTATTCTGTATAATAAAGTAGTGGTGGACATGTTATGCATTTGTCAAAACCCATAGAACTGTACAACTGAGTGAAACCTAATGTAAACTACAGACTTCAGTTAATAATGCATGGTTATTAGTTCATCAATTGTAACAAATGTACCACACCAATGCAAGATGTTAGGTGTTAATAATAAGGGAAACCTGGGGCAGAGGGGCACAGGGCGGAGCATGTTCGAATATATGGGATCTTTCTACTTTCTGCTCAATTGTTCTGAGAACCAAAAACTGCTCTAAAAAAATAAAGTCTATTAATTTTTTTAATGCATTTTTTGTTTTGTTTTCTCCTTAATTCCTTATCTTCTTTGAGATCTTGATCTTGCTCAACAAGGTTTTGACATCCAATGTATTTTTCAGGAAAGTATCCCCCAGTGATGGCAAGGAT